GTAAAATATAAGAAATAAAGTTTTCATAATAATCACGGGACTCTGGAGCAAATGAGTAATGAAAAGTTTTCATAATAATCACGGGACTCTGGAGTAAATGAGTAATGAGGAAGTAGTCATGAAGCTTTAATAGGAGGAAAATAATTCTGTAGTGTGTATAGTATTCCAGAGGAGAGTGCTGTCTAATGAGTGTTTTTTCACGATCGATTACGCAAGAAAGGCAAGAACTCAGTACTTAGAGCTGCAGTACCGATCGCATCACAGTCGAGTGGGATAAAATAAAAAGACATTTCTGTTGCCCACAGGAAATCAGTTGAAAGTTAACGCTTACATGGAATCTGTTAGCTGTCCTGTGTAATAATACAGGCAAAAAACACACGCAGTAAGACTTGAAAACAGCATAGCAGTTCGTCATTCAGTTCATTCTGTCTTCTCGAAGCGGCGGTAATGTCATTTTTAAAGCCCAGGAAGGGGGTCACAAAATAAAGGTTTGCCGTAAAAACGGAATTTATTAAAATTTGGAAACTCGTGTCTGGAATATTTGCCTGAAAGGGGTACGGCACGTTAGTACGAAGTTAGACTGTGCTTCGGTGGAACCAGTCAAAAAAACGGGTCGCGGGTAGTTGATTTGTGAACACTACGGCAGCATGGCGATTTGGAGTAGTCTAGCCGAAGCAAACGAGACAAGCGAGACATACTGCCATGCTGTCTTATGCGTACGTGCGCCATCAGTCTGTGTTGACCATCCAATAGTTGACTAAAAATTTATCGCAAGGTGGAAACGTAGATTAATGCTTTTAATTAAATATGAATCACCCGAAGCAGAAACAGTGGCGAAGGTTCGGGAACGCTGGAGAGAGTTTCACGCGTCTGCCTCCAGTGCAGTGTAAAATAAGCGATGGGGTGGCGGGGGGTACAGAATATTGCCTTTTAAAATTCATTTTTAGGCTTTTAAAAGCGGCCTCTTAAACTTCAGTAATTCGCTGAACATTCACTAGTACATTTATTTGCTTCACTATGTATGGGCTTGAGCAATCAAGCGAATGATTCTTATTGAAAAACAGTCGCCACCTTTGCACTTCGTTGATGAAAGCAAAGCGTTTTATCTATTTTTGAAACTTTTCATAAGTATTGTTGCCTTAGGTTCAGGAGTGACTATAACTGCTGTTCACCCAGGAACACCAGTCCCAAGCAACCTAACCCGCGAGCATTTTTTGGGAAACGTTTTCCTACGCAATGTGATCCTGCCTCCGGTTTTTCATCTCTTCTGTCGGACGACTACTCAAGCTGCTCAGACATCAGTCTACTGTGCTTGCTCTGAAGAGTGCGGCTGTGTCACCGGCCAGTATTTTGAGTAAGAGATCTTATGACGATGTTAATGCTAATTTCATTCTGTTCTATTCAACATAAGTTAGTATACGTTATTTCCAGTGTAAGAAAGTGACAGAGACCTTGCCAGCGAGAAGACATGTTTTACAGGCGGTCATCGCATACATCTAATTTCAAATTTCTCAGCCAGGTTGTGATGCCGTCTTGAACCAATACTATATTTCTGCTTGAAACTTCCATGCTTCGCACTGGCTAATGAACAATTTTGTTGTCGGGTCAGAATGAATGCACACGCTGCAAGAAAAGATTGCCATTCTACCCCAGTTTGCAGATACCGTGTCTCATACGACGAACAGATCACGTACAGGCTCATCTCTTGTGTCGGGGTCGAGCAAAACTTCTGTGGCTTTCAGACCTGGCCAGCTTGTTCATGTAATTCAGTAGTATATTTATAAATCTGTGCACAGTCTACTGTACACAGCATTATGCACAACAAAAATAAGCTGTGATGCTCAAAACCTTTCAATATTTCTCAGCTGTTCAGTCATGATCAAGTCATTACAAAAGTCTTTTTGCATTTTGCCTGTTTAGGAACGTGCGTTTGGCAACGCCGACCAGTGCAGCACAGGATGCAGATGCCGCAGCACGACTGTGGTGTATGTCATGCCAGATGCTTTCGATTCCTGAAGAATGGTAGAAACTGTGAACGACTTCGAAGACCACTAGTTGATCCATGCTTTTCTGAATGTATCGGATTAACCGTCCTTAGAATTTACCCTGAAGCTGACACAGGTGTCTGAATTTGACTTTTGAACGCATTCTTTAATAATATCGACAGAAAAACAGAGAATTTAATCAACGCCAGCATAGGTTTAAATGTTTGGACACCAAGTGGCCGAACTGTTAACTTGTAGAATGCATTGCTTCAATCTGCCAATGATCATCACGGCCATTATGCTTTTTGTTGCTGTGCACGAAGCAAGGAACCATATTTCATCAGTGTATTCCCGAACCATTTAGCCATGTACTTGAGCTCGGGTCGAGGTAGAGTAAAGAAGTCCATATAATAGGAAAAAACAAGTCAGTGACGATCGAAACAAAAATCAGGCGTAAGGGATCGTTCACGAACAGCAATTTTTACCTCATCTCGTTTTTAGTTTTTCCTGAAAACGAAAACCTGATACTCGTTGAAATATGGCTATTTATATTCGACTATTCGTTTGTACGTTTATTTATGACGTCTCATTTGCTATGCATTCTCTTTTGTTCGTAAGGTGAAATTAATTTCATTGTAGAATTATTTTCTAACCGCATGAAGTTCACCTGCAGCGTTGGCTTGGCATATTAACTTTACTTTTTCCCCTTAACTAATCATCAAGTTACTAATGCAAGTCCGCCAAACAACTTACAAAGTATACACGACTGACGATGCTAATATGGCAATATAGCCGATGCTGCACAAGAGGACAGTGCAAAAAATGAAACATAAATTGACGTATCATTCAAAGTGGATCTTAAAATCGTTGACTGCCAGCCAGTTCTGCAAATATTGAAAGAACGGCTAAGAAAGCAAGATGTTGCTGTTGAGCGGTCTACAATCGTAGAAGGTTTACAACGCTTACAGCGCCAGCAAAAAATAAGAAACCAGGGGTGAAGGGACAGCGGTAGAATGAAGTCAAAACGCCATAGGTTTAGCCTTGCAGTTTAATCTGGGTAAGCCAATTTTCACCAATATGCCAGCGAATGCTACAAGAGCTCATTAGAATTGGCAACGGAGTCACAGTAGTATGTTCAAGCTTTTCCAACAGGATTTATTCACCGACTAGGCAAGAATTTTATCTAGGAAATTTTAATTCTGCTGTTTGTTTTCCCCATATTTGAAAAGAATCATTATCAGGCAATAACTCAACAAAACTGCAGTTGTACCTGAGACAAAGATATTGATGCCTTAAGAAGGACAAGTTTCAGACGAGAAAAAGGCCTTTTAGCCTTCCGCAGCACTGTACATCTGGTTTTCATTTTTCATCAAATTTACCAAACGGACGAAAACCATTTAAAACACTCAGGCTTGCTTCGTAAGCGTGGCAAAGGCTTCGACAGGTTACCGCAACTGATGCTACGGATACTGCTTCAAGAGCAAAGGGTAAATAAAAGCACTTTGTTGTCCTCAGTTCTTCATTCCACCTGCCCGAGATTTAACCAAGACACGGCTGCGAGACCATATAGGATGTAGGAGAAGATGATACGCATTTGCAGATGAACTCACCAGGTCGGCTTTCTTTCAAACAGACAGTAACATGCAATGATAGATTAACAACCTTAATAACATAACACAGATATAAGGTTAGTCAGACCAAAGCAAAGTATACATTTAAAGCGCAAAATAAAGATAGAGGGATCTTGCTGCCAAACTGTCAGTCATAAAGAATGAATTCTAGCCTATACGTTCCTGTAGTCATGAACGTTTGGTAACGATCACTCCTTAACAGCGCTGATGGTGTCATGCAACGCAAGAGACTAGTAAACCTTGAGAGTTGCCAAATTAATCGACGTTGCTTTAATCAGCCTCCCAGACAAAGAGTATGCAAAAGTATTAAAAAGGAGGTGCCGTGGAACAACTGACTCAAAATACAGCAGCAGTGTGGCTGCAAGTCAGGCCGAAGCACCTCTAGCCAGATTTTTGCCTTACTTCAGATTACTGAGAAATTGTGGAAGTTCGTTCATCCGGTATAACTGTGTTTTGTGAACCTCGAGAATGCACACGACCGAATCTCGCAAATAAGCTATAGCTGTTACGGCCAATATATGGGATCGATTGCCAGTTTTTGCGACCTGCCCACTCACTATATTGATAGCAGGTGCCGCGTCAGAGTAAATAATAGTAGATTGATACCTTCCATCATTGATACTGATTTCCACCAAAGCTGAGTTCTGACCCCTCTCCTGTTTGTGTTGTTCATGGATAGAATAGTCAGTAGCAGCAAAGGCGATGAGTCTATCGGTGTAGGAGATGTAGAGATGAGAATGTCGCTATTTGCAGACGACCTCGTTTTATCGGTATCTACGAAAACTGATCTACAGTACTCTCTGAAGTGGTTCGCAGCCGAAGGCGACGTAGCCGACATGCGTGTGAATGCATCCAGAACGAAAAGCCCAGTGCTTTCTTGTTCTTCTGTCGGTCGCGTTGTGCAGCTAAACAGAGAAGCGGTGGAGGAGGTGGAAAAATTTACGTACTAGCGGTCGTGCTTGTGGGTAATAGAAAATGGGAAGAGATCGATTGCCCGGCGACTGACCAGTGAATGACCGGCAGC